GACAAAGGCTGTTGGCTGATTTCATATCAACCAACACACCAATGCAAGTGCAGCCCCCTGGTAGAATGAGGCAGTTGCGTTTGCATGTGCATGTTTGCAGCCGGTGAGAGGGTTGCGTTTGCAACGGTTTGCCAATATTAGACGCTTCGTGAGCTGTCTTCTCATTGCTATTCCCGGCTTTCACAGACATGCAAGCTAACAAGAATCTACCTAGAACGGTTCTTTGGAACCCTCGAGCAAAAAAACTTACACTTTCCTGGCCACATTGACGGCTATCTCCCGCTGTCTAGCGTCCACATATCTCGACATGTGACACACCATGGAGTCTAGCTCTTTCGCAAATCTTTCGCTCCCTTGGCCGTCTGATGCAATTGATTTCCCCAATATCCCCCGCTTCCTCTTCTTATTCTGACGGTTCGAACTGAGCAAACCGAGAGGTAAGCGGCGGCTGAATTCCGCCCGCTCAAAGTCCACCACCACAATACTTTCACCTGCTGTACTCTCATTGCGTAACACATTGTGTAATTTTGCGTCGCCATGAAGAACACCTAATTGATGTAGATTCTGATACGCTTGGGTAACTGCGTCAATATCTGCCTTGGTTGCTTGATTGGTAGAGTCAAACAGAGGTTTTCCGGCCCAACTGAGAAACAAGACATGCTCGTATACGCCACTGTCGTAGTACAACGGCAGGGTCAAATCAGTCCGACCCAAGCAAACGGGAACATATTTTCCCTGAATCAAGCGGAGTTTATCGTACATCTTCTTCTCACGGCGAAGGAGGGCCAGGTCGAGTGTCTCAACGCCTTTGGCGACAAGAGTGTAGCCATGGGAGGACATCCTGACCTTAAAGAGTGTGCCAATGGAGCCGGACAGGTGAAGTGGTACGACGTCAGCATCGCAACCACGGTCTTCGGCTAGTTGAACGCGGATGAGTCGGAGGAAATCCAGTCGGTTTAGGTGCTGATGTCCGTGATCTCGGAAATTCGGGCAGCGTTCATCCAGGGGCCAGCCGTTCACTAATCCGAGCAGACATTGTGGCGTACAGAACTGACGATCCTTTATGTTCATCTGCTTCCCTTGGCTATGATGTCGGTGCTCCTGTGCCTGTCTACCGGTCGAGCCCGCACTCGACTTCGCAAGAGCCTTTTCGCCACTGAGGATCAGTCGTGTCGGCGTTGGTGAGGGAGGAGTTCCTTCTTCATCGTCACCGCTACCATCCCGCTGCTTTGGGTTGCCGTCGAATTGCTTGCACCGAGACCGTGTTTGAATTGGCGAGCGCTTGAACCCTCGCCAGCGTTGAGGCCTGTACGGAGAGATGCGCGCCTCCTTACCCTTGCGCACTGTTTCGGGTATGTTCCTTAGCACGTCGTCGTACTCTACAGCCCAGGTGTCGAGACCCGCGGCAGTATCGTGCCAGGACTGTGGGGGCGG